CGCCTTCTGCTCCCCCTCCCGTGCACTCCCCCCTCCCCGCCGCGAGGCGCCACTCTAGGTCTCCTGCCCTCCACGCCGCCCTTGCTGGTCGGAGGGTGGCTGCGTCAGCCTCGGGCCCAAAGTGGGCTCTTATCTGGGAGACTCACCTTTGGGGAGAGTGGGTTTCGGGAGCCCCGTCTCTCGTGGTCCTCTCTCGAGGAAACGTGGAGTGCCTCTTCGTGGTACAGTTAGTCCCTATATCTTCTTGTGAGGGCCAGTCTGAGGAAAGGGAAGAGACAGGGGCTCGTTTATAAGAGATGATGGGTGAGTCCATCACCTGACCAGGAGTTCTTGATACCTTTCAGCTGAGGCCTGGAATGAGCGCTAGACCACAGGCGGGCGCGCAGTGCCCCAAGTCCTTCACCGCCGGTCCGTGGGACCCCTCGGGAGAGACACGACCCGCCTCTAAACCCAGATGTGCTGTCCGTAATTAGATACCACTTAAGGAACTTAGAGAACAGTCAATGCATTGCCAGATTTTCTTTTAAAAAACTTTTATTATGGAACATTTCAAAATATATGCAAACACAGACATTGTAGTATAGTGATCCTCCCTCCCCCCCACCCAATTTCAACAACGATCAACTCAAGGTTAAGTTTGTGGCCCCTGTTGTCACACACTTGCTCCCTCTCCAGTATTATTTTGAAGCAAATCCCATAAGTGTATCTTTTTGTATGTGTATAGTTAGTGTGTATCTTTTAAAAATATAACCACATTCTGTTATCACGCTTTAAAAATAATTCCTTAATGTCAAAAGTGGAGTTATTGCTAACATTTCCAATTGTCTCATAAATGTCATAGTTTAAAAACAATTCAAAACAGGAGTCAAATAATATACACCTGCTTTTGATATTTGTTGAATTTTTAAAATATGAAGTAGCAGGGTACAAAGTATACATTCATCATGTTAAGATTTTTTTTGACAACTGGCTCCAAGCTTGTGCTGCGAAAATATACTGAATGTGTTTATTTTTCCTTTAAGAATAGTAATAATAAGTGGACAGCACCTGGGTTAGGAGTCTAAAAACTAATCTCTATTTAAAGACTCCACATTGCTCAGTCCCTGGCTGGACCAGAAAATGGGTTCTTGTGTAGAGATATTTTCTTAGAGGATTAAAAAGGTGAGGGAGAGGTGGGACACTTAATCCTGTGTTTTCTAGTACAGTGCATTTAAAAGGATAGATACAATTTTTGACAAAGGCATGGTGAGCACTTCAGTGTTAGTATTTTCTGTGAAATCCTTATCCTTTTTCTCAAGAGTTATAAACACCACAGATTTCAGTCTATCACTCTGTGATTTGCAATTGGTCATGACTGAGATTGGATTGGAAACCCTGGTTTCTTGCTCTTTTGGACAGTTGTTCGAGAAAGCGAGCCTTTGGTGTGCTAAAGACTTTCCTGCCCATCTTGGAGTGGCTCCCCAAATACCGAATCAAGGAATGGCTACTGAGTGATATCATTTCGGGAGTTAGCACGGGGCTAGTGGGCACACTGCAAGGTAAGATGGTGATGGATTGACTGTGTCCCCAGCAGCAGTTCAAAACTTTTCCCCAGCAACCATGGGTTATACCAGATGTTTGTTCATCCTCCAAGGCTTTCATCTTTCCTCTAGAGCCCCTTAATGGAAAGAGCCACCTCTTTTCTCCTCTTCCCCAGAGTTCTCTTCCTGGAAAACTGCTACTCCTCCGGCTGTGTGACTTCAGCTTAGAAGCACACACTAAGCAGTGGCTTCCCAATTTTTATTGACCACAACTCACAGCAAGAAATATATGCTACATCGTGATCTGTCCCCACATAGCTAAAGTTTTCTCAAATATATTTCCTCACTACAAGTGATACACTGTTTTTTAAAAAGTTATTCTGGGCTGGGCTCGATGGCTTAGCCTGTAATCCCGGCACTGTGGGAGGCCGAGGCGAGTAGATTGCCTGAGCCCATAAGTTTGAGACCAGCCTGGGCAACTTGGTAGGACCTCGTCTCTACAATAAAATAAAAAATAGCCAGGTGTGATAGCACGCTTCTGTAGTTTCAACTACTTGGAAGGCAGAGGTGGAGGGATCGCTGGAGCCCAGAAGGTCCATGCTGGGGTGGCCATGAGCATGTGTGCCACTGCACCCCAGCCTGAGTGAAGGAGTGACTCCAACTCAAAAAAAAAAATTATTCTGTTCAATTTTTATTCTGCTTATTTTCTAAGAATGATGTTTCCACCCCATTAAATTATTTTATATTCTACACATGGATCTTGACCTGCAGTTTGAAACTGGCTTAAAAGAAAAGGAAGTTTTTTTTATCCTGGACTACACATGAGTGTTTTTTCTGCCCTCCTCTTTTTTTTTTTTTTTAATAGTATCTTCTTATTTTAATCTTCTGGGAAATATTCTAACATAGGTGGTTATTTTTATTTTATTTGTGAGTTGGGGTCTTATTCTGTCACCTAGGCTGGAGTGCAGTGGCACACTCATGACTCACCACAGCCTCAACCTCCTGGGCTCAGGTGATCCTTTGGCCTCAGCCTCCTGAGTAGCTGGGACTACAGGTGTGTGCCACTGTGACTGGCTAATTTTTTGTTTTTTGTTTTGTAGAGATGAGGTCTCACAATGTTGCCTAGGCTGGTCTTGAACTCCTGGGCTCAAGCAATCCTCCTGCTCGGCCTCTTAAAGTGTTCAGATTACAGGTGTGAGCCACCATGCCTGGCTTTTTTTTTTTTTTTTTTTTTTTTTTAATAAACTGGCTTCATACCATAATATTTCCATGAGCATCTTAGACATCTGTTGCACAGTTGGTGCATAGCAGTATGGGTATTCTATTCTATCCATATAGTCTCCACCATCTTGTTTTTGACACTCTACCACCCTGCCCAATCTTACAAAGACCCTGAACCATGAAAGCAGAAATCTTGCTTATTTATTACAATTGTATGGAGCACCTAGGATGTGCCAGGCACTAGGCATGCTGACGTGAATAAGATGCACCACTTACTTTCAAGGAGTTTATAGTCCAATGAGGAAATAGATGATAACAATCCAGGGTGATAAGGGCTGTGGCAGGGGTAACATTGCCAGCACAGGGAGTGCAGTTGAGGCAAACACAACCCAGGAATGACTTCCTGGAAGCTGAGTTGTCAAAGCTGAATTTCCCTGACGGCCATGTCTGAGTTTGCCAAGTGATGGGAAGCAGAGTGGGGTGGGGACAGCTTAAAAATAGACTATTTCAGAAGCTCGTAATAAATGTTGAGCAATGTTTGTGCTAAAATTTGACTGTGGAGCTCTCAAGATTACTCAGAGCAGACCAGATGGAATTCCACAGAGAAGGGAGATGTTTTGTGGCCCCAGTGTGAAGTCTCAGCCTGATCAAGCAAGTTCTCAGTCACACAGGTGGACGGGAGAGAGACAGGATAGGGCTGTGCAGTGCATAGGTTAAACCATGCTAAGTGTTCTACACAGTAGGCTCTAACAGCTGTGACATGTCAACAACCTGTGACTCCTAGGGCACATGAACCATGCCTAATTCATGTTTGTTTAGCAGGTACCTAGTACAGAAACTGACACATAATGGGTGGCATATTTAGTAAAGATGACTTAAGTTGAATGAACTAATAATGAATCATCTTTATATATGAAAGATGAATGTCATCTCAGTTTTCATAGACAAGTATTTTATAAGAATTCATTTGGTTTAATACACATCAGACACTATGATAAGTAAGGTTCTTGGCCCATTCTTACATTTAATTCTCACAACAGCCTTACTAGGTAGATACTATTATCTCCTTTTCAATAGATGGGAAATCTATTAAATCTTGCTTAAGTAATCATAAAGCTGGTGTTAGAGATTTGACTGGATTTAAACCCAGTGTCTAATTTCTACAGTCTTTTAAATTCTTTTTGTGAGTAGGGCTCTCACTCTGTTGCCTGGGCTGTAGTGCAATGACATAATCATAGCTCACCACAATCTAGAACTCCAGGCTCAGGTGATCCTTCCAGCCTCCTGTGTAGCTGGGACTACAGGCATGCACCATCATGCCTGACTAATTTTTATTTTTTGTAAAGATGAGGTCTCACTATGTGGCCCAGGCTAGTCTCAAACTCCTGGGCTCAAGCAATCCTCTTGTCTCAGCCTCCCAAAGTGTTAGGATTATAGGCATGAGTCACTACACCCAGCTAATTTCTACAACTTTAATGTATATATACATTAAAGTAGTTCCTTACTCTGTGTTCTGTAAATATGTTTTTACAGAAGCATTATTCCTAAAAAGTTATCTAAGGTGAATTTCTGGGGGGTTTATCTGGGTCATCCATACATTTATCATTCATTTAATACATATTTATAGATTAATTCTGTATGCCAGATATTCAGCTGTGCAGATTCAGTGGTTTGGTTTACTTACAGGCACAGGTACTGACCTCATGGAGCTCATTTTGAGTGGTTGGGATGGGAGTTAAGTAGAAAAATAGAAAAATTATTACAGATTGCAATATCCATTGCGGTGGATTCAATATTGCTGGAAGAAGAATTAGTTTGAGATAAGAAAGCTTATTTTAAATACAACGATCAAGGAAGACCTTACCAAAGAGGTAAAATTTAGTCAGTAGACCAGAGAATAAGAGGAGGCAGTCTTATGTGCTAAGCAGAAAGAAGAGTGTACCAGGTAAAGGTGCCCTGAGGCCAAAAAGAGCTTAGTATTTTCAAAGGAGAAGCAGGAAGAATTCTAGTGTGGATGATGCAGTGGAGGGTGGTGGGGAAACCATGAGATAAAGTCAGGCAGGACTGGGATTAGGATGAGGTGAGAGAGGCGCACACTCTCATGGTGCCTCATTAAATCTTGTGCCCTGACCACTTCACTTGTCTTACCCCATTCATAGCTCTGTAGGGACAATGGTGCAAATCAGAGGAAGGTCCGGTGTGTCAGCTTGAACCAGAGCAGGCAAGATGTAGAAAGTGCTGCAAACTCTATTTTGCAGCAAGGATCACTGACGCATACCGATGAGTGTGGATGAAAGGTTGTTGGCTTGAACAACAGGTAGATGGTTATATCATTTATTTAAATGGCAAAGATGGGCTGAGTAGCAGGATTGGGATGAAAAATCAAGAGTTTCCTTTTGGGCAGGCTAAGTTTGAGATGTATGTGAGACATCTAAGTGGAGATGCTAAATAGAAAATTGGAGCTACTACAAGTGGGGAAGTCCGAAGAGAGGTCTGGGCTAGACATAAAAATCCAGAAAGCATCACTTTAGAGGTGATATTTAAAAGAGTGGGGACTAGGCCGGGTGTGGTGGCTCATGGCTGTAATCCTAGCACTTTGGAAAGTGGAGGCAAGAGGATTGCCTGAGCTCAGGGATTCAAGACCAGCCTGGGCAACTTGGCGAGACCTCATCTCTACAATAAATCAAAA